TAAATTTTATTTTCAACATTAATATCACACATAACAATTTAATTGATTGATAGATAAAACTAAAATCACCTTTTATTTTCTCTATGTAAATTAATAATAAAATGATGCAATAAATGTTTTGGACACAGATTAGAAAATTTCATATATATATTTATATGAGTTTATTGTTTTATAATTCAAACTATACATAACATAAAATAAAAACTATTAGATAGAGGTGGATCTCAAAAATTAATATTTTATAGTTTAAATTGTAAAATAATTATATATATGTATATGAATATATTGTTTTATAATCTAAATTATTTAAAATTATAAATAAAAAATCTTTAGATGAGAGATGAATAAAAATTATCATCAATCTAAAAATTAATATTTTACTGTCTTAAACAATTTGTAAAACACCTTTTAGTATATATAATAAAACAAAAAAGTGTAGTACGGTCCGGATAAGATGCTTAAGTGATGTAAAGCTTCAAAGCTCTCCAGATCATAAATGCGCAATAGGTCAGTAGTTCATAGAGTTCAAGCTTATATAAAACTGCTACCTTAGCACAAAATGATTCATTAAGAGTTTTAGGAAGGCAAAGACGCAAAATAGAACTCGTACAATTAAAATCCAGTAAACATTACGCAGGGGTTTGTCATCCTTTTTGCATTTAAAGTTTGGATACATCATAGGTATTTGCTGTCATTTTGCCTCCATAACAATATTGGTAATAAAACAAAATCATATGCCAAAAAATGGAGCCATGATACAAAAAAACTTTCAACATGAATATGGCTGCACATCCATAGACCATAGCATGGTTCAGATATATAATGTACTTTAGTTATAAGGTAACAAGAAATCAAGTCTCAGATATCCCAAGCTTGAGGGGAATGATATGTATGCTGCCGGGGAAAATATGAACTTGATACTTCTATTACTTTCTTACATTACCATCAAATGGACATGCACTGCATATTGTCAATAATTCCACCGTAAGTAGCAAGCAACTCAAAAATTCTATTCCATTTAGTTGCAGAGAAGTTAAATCGCAGCTTTTGCTTTTGGGGTTTTAGATCCTTTAGTGCTTGACTACCAGTGGCAATCTTCATGACTAACTTAGATTACTTAAATGACCAAATTATGTACCTTTCCTCACCAATTACACATCATTAAGTACACAAAAATTAGCAATGACCCATGTGACTAAAATGCATTTTTGTCTATTGTGCTCTAGTCAGTAGCAGCAACTATAAATCCATGTATTAAGAGAAGCCTAAGAGTTCAGAGCAAAATGACTAAAATCCACAAATGAAAATGATGCAAAGTCTCATAGAAACTATCAAGACATTTCTAGTGTCTCTGAAGTGTAAAACCTTTCTTGTTGGGATAACAAAAGTTTAATGTGCCAAAACTAATGAAAGAAACAACACAGTAAAGATGTGTCTGGATGTATTTCTACTAGAAAAGGATCTGATCCACGCATAACATTGATAAACATTCATAAAGCATATTCTAAAAGAAAGATAGAAAAGATCATTCTTCCTAATCCAGTGACAACAAGACCAGCAACCAAAGGGTAAAATACAATGAACTCATTAATCTATCATTGGATATTCAAGCAAAATCAAATTGCTTTCTTTTATAAATAAAAATATTTCACTGATAATAACTTAAGAAACAGAAGAGGCAGATTGCCTGACTCAAACTGAACCCAAGTCTAAGTGCATAAAGCCAACTCATAAAACAAATTCATAAGAAGCATAAGAAAATACAACATTGAATTGGGTTGCCAATACCAAAAAAACCTTCCCACTGGCAAAGCTTCAACAACTCCTTCCAAGGTTGTGAAAAAATGGAAACAAAACCCTGAAGTATCTCCAGACTTCGAACCTCTGAACTAAACGGAAATGCAGGACAATGGCAGCAAACACAAGCAACACACCTAATAAACCAATAAGAATCTGCAGGTCAACTGGTACAAAAAGATAAAGCAAAAAGATAAAGCTGAAATTAGACTAATCCACACAAATCTACGCTCCATACATTTGTGAAGATAAAATAGCACAAAGACAGGCAGTATAATCGTGAACAGCACCAATAAATCAGAACTGTATCAAGAGAATCCACCTTTCTGCAAATGACATTCAAGGAATAATAAATCAATTATCATGGGAGTCATGCTTCCCTTGCCTTGCCTCTGCTTCACACACACCTTGATTAGCATAATAATCTAACAGAATATTGACAATGGCACACATGGCAGAATTTCACAGTATCAACTTCCTGCAACTCCAAAGACACATCAAATTCATTGAAGATAAGACAAAACTGAACTGTCAAGAGCAATTGTTTGTAATTAATGAATAATAAAAACCAAAATGACCATTCCTTTGACAGCCAAATTTACTAGCTGAAAGCACAGAGTTCTTGTCAACAGCAAAGAATAATAGCTGGCAGAATTGTTTCATCCTTCTCATTGCAACTTATAGCACCTGAAAGAACACCCTTAACACATCCATTGTGGCCTATTAAAGCTCCTCCAACAACCAAACTGCCTTCTGACATCCCAGCCTCAGCACTCTCAACACTATAGCATTCTTAACACTATAGCACACCCTCTTCTATTATCAGACACTCCCAACATTAAAGAAGATAATAAAACTAGAAAAAAAATAATAATGTTAATAAAATTAGAATTGAGTGACTGAATTCATCTACCCAGGGTGACCAAGCTCTCCACACACGGACTCACAGGCCAGGATCGAACAATGGGATTGCCAAATTCTGCAACTTTGTTAACTGATTGATCATTGGGGTCATACAGAGCATATTCATGTCTGTCATGCCAAAAAATCAGAACTTTATTGTTTCTGGTGAAACAAACAGGAGACATCACATCCCGATTCGTTTCATCATCCAAAGGGGCGTTGAAGTTGCCATCAGTACTTTGAACTCTGAACAATTTCGTCCAAAATTTTGCATGTGTCACCAGATTTTCCTCCATCATCCACATATCATATGTAACCTCATCCGGAGACACTACCAGACAAAGAGAATCTCCAATGAGCTCCAAAGCAGCATATATTTTGAAATCATTGGATAATATCCAGCTTAGAGATTCCTCTTCTTCCATTCTATCTGTGGCCAAATCAAAAGTCGCAATCCCACAATCAGGTCGTCTTTCACGATCAATAAGCCAGTAGATGCGGCCATTGACATGTTTTGACTCTGTAGCTGCTCCTGATAAATCAAACAGGTACCCTGCATCGGGTTGAGTAGTTTTCCATAAACCCGTCTTCAGGCTCAAGCACTGGACCTTATCAAGCTTCCTTCCTGACAATGCACTTGTGGCTACTACGAGTTTGTAATCATCACTGATAGAGTCATATCCGAACCCAAATCGTTCAAAATTCTTCTGACGACATTGTGGTATCGGAAATCTCCTCTGTTCCTTGGTTGACGGGTTCCAAACAACGATGCTGCTCCGGTCAGTTTCCTTGCAAAATAAGTGCGCAGACACGAGGCCATTGCAATGACCTAAGAAGCTCGCAATTTTCTCTGAAGGCTGTACCTGGAGGTAATTGGTTTCCAATAGTAGAAAGAGAATCTTATCAGCATTAGCATTTCGAGTGCCTATGGCAAAGTCTGAATCATTACTGCTCTGTACGATAAATTCCTGGTGGGTGCAAATAGAAGTCTGGATTTTGAGGTGTCTTGTGATGAATTGTTGATTGGAAAGTAGAAAAAACCACTGCTTGGATAGACATTTGAATCGAAGCAGAGATTTGACGCCAAGTCTTAAAAGAATTACCTCTATAAGATCCGGAGGGAATTGGGTTTGCTGCGCTGTATCTTAATTACGATTCGCTCGGCAATGCAGGAGCCTTCCATCAACAAAGGACGAGATTACGATTAGTTACAGGGTTTTTTTTCCTTCTTTTAGGTGTGAAGGAAGGGGAATTGCAGATGGTTGTGCTTATTTCTGAAGTAAAATTGGTTCGGCGTGATTTAATTTTAGGATTAGGGTTTGGAGGAGTTGCAGGTGTTTTTCCGCTTGTCGATGGAGAGAAGGGGTTGCAGTCGCCTGCGGACAACTTAGGGGCGAGTTTTAACTTTGATGTCACAAAAACACCTCGCCGTGTAATCTAACCTATTAAAGGCTCTTCCAGTAACAGCCTCACGGTGCGTTGGAATTACCGTAAAGTGCTTGGCATGCGTTTAGAATTATCATAAAGCGTTTGGTCGTGACTGTGACTGTATGACTGTATTAAATTATGTGTGTATTATGATTATAATTAAAAGTTATTTTGATATTTAATATTTATTTTTTAAAAATATTATAAATAAAATATGATAAATTTTATTAAT